CTATATATGAAACGATCTTAAGTGGTCTCCCTAATTCGCACATACTTACTGTTATTTGTTGAACGAATTATATCATTCCGGTGTTTGTACATGTACTACCAAAAGCGAGCACTGAGTGAATGATGTCAACACACTGGGTTTGTTGCCATTTTCTCTGACCTAAGGGCGTACACGAATTGGCACTGTGGCTCAACAGACTAATCCTCCACCTTCAAGTGCTGGAATCCCTTTTGAGTGCTGGTTCTAGCCTTGCCTGCTCCACTTCTGATCCAGCTCCCTGTATATGGCCTGGGAAAGCAGCAGAGGATGGCCCAACTGCTTGGGACCCTGAACCCACATGGGACATGCCAAAGAAGCTCTTGGTTCCCAGCTTCAAATCAGCTCAGCTCCAGCCTTGTAGTCTTTTGAGGAGGGAATCAGTAGGTGGAAGATCTTTCACTGTCTTTCCTTCTCTCTATAAAATTGCCATTCAAAGAAAATAAATAAATCTTTAAAAGGGGGGAGGGATGCAAATACAGAGCTGGGGACAGAAAGATCTTCCATCCTCTGGTTCACTCTCCAAATGGCTGCAATGGTCAGAGCTGAGCCAAACTGAAGCCAGGAGCCACGAGTTTCTTCCAGGTCTCCCACACTGGATGGGAGGTTGAAACAGCTGGGATGTGAAGCAGTGCTTAGGAATTGGAGGATTAGCCAATTGAGTCATCCTGCCAGGGTCCCATCACAGCCCTTCAGTGGGTAGTTAGGGCAGCCCATCTTCGTGTGCCTTTCTGACAGGAATATGGCTGTCTGGATCGTGTGGCAGGCAAGGGGGGTGGTGGATAGGAGGGAGGGAAAGAGGAAGGAAGGGGGGAGGGAGGGATGGAGGCAGGAAGGGAGGGAGGAAGGGAGAATGGAGGGAGGAGGGAAGGAGGGAGAAGCTAGGGTTGAGGGCCTACATGGCAGTACCCACCAAGGAGTGTCAGCATAGGGGATGGGTCGCATTAGGCTGGACCATGACACTAACCAACACATGAGGGAACCGGGTCTAAGGGCAGACCCTGTGGAGTTATGTGGGCTCACCTCTGGAGGACTGAAACACCTGCTGGTTTGCTTGATGTGCTGAGCTAAGCAAAGCTGTGGAACCCACCAGAACTCATGGGTACTGTGATTGGGAACAGACCAGGCTGGTTCAGGCTGCAGCACCCTCAGGCCCACCCACGAATTGAATGTGAGGCTGGCTGGGCTGCAACATCCAGCAGCACACACTAAGGCTGCGACTGGAAAGGCACATTGTGCCACGTAAGGGCCCAGCACCCACGGGCACAGGTGAGATTTGGGTCTGAGAGTGGGCCTGGGGAAAATTGGAGAAACTCCCCTGTTGGGCTGCTGTCCCTCCTACTCATGAACACTTGAGGCAGGGCTGCATGTTGGACAGCCGGGCTGAGCTGTTCCACTCGTTGGCAGGTATGTGGGTTGGCTCAGTGTGGGGGCAGACCAGGCAGAGCCTGGCTAAACCATTACACACAGGAATGTGCAGCAGCCAGGATGGGGCACACACCAAACCAGGCTAGGTTATCACAGCTACCAGTTTGCATGAATACCAAGAATGGGGGGCAGGATGGGTAGGGCTAGGCTATAGTGCCCACCAGTGAGAGTTGGGACTGGGAGCAGGCTGGGCCAGGCCAGGCTGCAGCATCTATTAGTAAAGGGCATGCCAGGGTGTGGGCTATGCCGAGCTAGGTGGAGCTAGGTGGAGAAGCCACTGGCATGTGCAAGATCCACGCATTGATGTAATCAGGCTGCTGGGAGCAACCCTCACCCCTTCCCTTCCCCCTTCTCCCTGACCCAAGAAGAAAACAAAACAAACAAACAAAAAATTGGAAGCAGTGTTGCATCAACTTTCTCCCATTCTTTGACCTTTTATTCACCCTAACCAGTTGTCCACATGGACATATAGCCATCTCAACCATGCAAACATCATCCAAAAATAATAAAAGTATTAAATTTCAAAAACACTTGGATGAATCTATAGATTTGTTGGAAAAAAAATACCAACTTAAGCATGTGCATTTAAAAAATCGCATCTTAGCTTTAGGAAGAATGTCTAGTAAAACCATACTTTCATTTCCAGAATTACCTGTATGGTGTTTTTATGGAAATCTGTCCAATGCCTGGGGGCCTTCGGTGATGAGAGTGACAGAATCGCAGACAATAGGAATTCATCTGTCCCTGCCCCACCCTTCCCCACCCACCTCCCACCAAAGTTCTTCAGGGAAGCCGGAGCAGAGAACATGGACGGAGTGCATCTTTCCATGAGACCAGGAGACTAAGATCTCCGAAATGAAATTCACCTTCAAATCATGATGAAGTTGTTGGCTCTCTGTTGACATAAATTACACGGGAGCCACAATAGACGATACATCATTTTCTCTCTGCTCAACGGCTTTTATAATAGCAGCTGGATTTCTAAATGGGATTTCTCTTAAGGTCAAGTTTTTCTTCTCCAAGTATGTTCAATGATGCACTTGAAGATTGTCAAAAAAAAATGCAGCTTTATCTTTTATATTCATGTATTCTGCCATCTCAAGAAAATAGGGAGAAAAACAGGATCCCATCAACAGCAAATTAAGTGTCTGATGCTGCTCTGCATGTTATCTTTCTAGAACAAAGAATAGCATGCAGGAGGATGAGCAAATTTGCTACTGATCCCACGTACTGCTGCTGCCTTACGGAAAAAGATTATATAGAGTTTTCTGTGCAATTTACTTCCGGATTCCTACGGCACCATCACCATAGGATGAACCCAAGACTTAAGAGTGTTCAAGAGAAAAAGGAAGTGCTATTAAGTACTCATCAATTACAAAATGCACTCCAAATAAAGAAATGTGAAAATATTCACTCGCTAAATAAAAATATCAATGAAGAGACTCTCGCAGAAGCTCCGTCATTAGGGGTGGCCGTGGTGATCCTACTCTGGAATCTGTCAGTCAAAATTTTTCTAGGCACTAGGACAAGCGTGTTTGATTCCCAGTGCTTCAGAAGTCCATTAAGACTCCTATGTCCCATATCAAATGTCATGCCCTGCTCAGGTCCTTGACCGCATGTTCTTGTTGAGAGGTTTAACTACCACTCCTAAGCCACCTCTTGATCCATCAACTCCCAACCACTCTGCAGGTGCTGGGACTGCATGGGAACACTCCATGCCCTGCCGTTCTGACCACTGGCTCTCAGTGGTTACAAGTCTCTACAGAGTGTCATGAGTTTGGTTCCCTAGGAAGCCAACCTGAGACCCCAAAGAGCATGCAGAAGATTGTAGAGTGGTCTGGGACACTTCGCTGGAGCAGGGGTACAGGGACCTTCCCACCCTGGGGACCCGTCCCTGGGCATGCCTGCTGCAGGAGCCACTGTGAGGTGATTCCGCCCAGCTAAGAGAGCATTTACACAGAGGGCTGAGAGCTGAAACCACACCAGAAATGGTTGGTTCCCTTCAGCCTTGGAAGAAAAGCCAAGAGGCGCAAGGTGTGTCTTCCTTGCCCCAAGCTTCCAAGTGCCGCTGGCTCCCTAACGTCTCCCTGTGATTCTCCACCCGTCAACGCAAACCTCTTTGTATGGGACTAACTCTAAGTTATCCAATGCTTTCCTCTTTGATTCTTCCCTTTAACGCCTCAACCAGGAAGTCCTTACCCTCAATCCTCTAGATCCAGCTTTCCTGATCACCACCCATCTCCACCTAATTGACAGCGTTCCTTCTAGGGAAGGGAGAGTCGGGCCACCCACTTGCTGAGTTTGTGAGCTACCAACCAAGTCACACAGAACCCAAGAATGTCAAGCTCACACACGCTTCCAGAGTCATTCAGAGAGACTAACATCTCAGCATCTCAATCTTGTGTTCTACGCCCTGAAGCTGAAAATGTGCCCAGGCTCTGGCTCCCCCGAGCCCCAGCATAACGCATGGCCTGTCTCTCTGATGTAGCAAAAAATACTGATTTCTCAGGCTCTGCAAACAAGACCACATGCACAGGCTGAGTCCTCACATCCCACAAAAGTGACTCAAGCTCTGGGTAAACTGGGTCCTCCCAGGAAAAAGAAGAGCTTGCATGACCAAGTACCCAGCTGTAAGAATACACTTTCCTTTCCAACTCTAACTTCAGTGAAACTGAACCAAGGTGGCCACGCAGGAAATAGGAACCCATCTTGTCCATCACTCCAATGCCCGGCCCATTTCTATGTAGTCCCATTAGTCTTACGTGAAATAATTACAGGGCTGACTCTGACTCCAGCCTCCACGAGTCAATGGTGGGAACTGATGTGTGACAGAGCATGGAAAGTCACTGCCTGCATCACCAGAATCCCATAGGGGTGCTGGCTCGAGCCCCAGCTGATCCACCTGCTAGTGTGCCTGGAGATGCAGCAGAGGCCAGCCTAAGTCCCCGGGCCCCTCCACGCACGTGGGAGACCAGGAGGAAATTCCTGGCTCCTGACTCCAGACCGGCTCAGCTCTGGCCATTCACAGCCATTTAGGGAGTGAACCAGCAGATGGAAGACCTTACAATGATTAATAATAATAATAAATATTTCAAATAAATGTTTTTGAAACATCATTGGGATGCAAAACCACTTCTGTTATCCAGAGCACATTTTATTAATACAGAAAGACCAAGGGTACATCTTGTTAGCTCCACAGGGGAGCTCGGTCCCTTGTGAGCACCACTCACGTGGTACACTACCAAGTCAACCACGAGGGAGGAAGGAAAACACATGATTATTAACAAGGCTCCTCGCTGACGGCAAGTCTTACCAATAAAAGAACAAGTATTAAAGGCTTCAGATATACAAACATGGAACTATGTTACAACATTCACCCCTGGGACGCAGCTCATCTGTTTAAAAAAAAAAAAAAATACACTTTTCAGAGCTAAGAGTGTCTGTCCTAGCTCTCCCATAGTGAGGCCCCTCTCGGCTTAACCCTCTCATTTCTGTCCTTGAGTAGCACTGGGTCCTAACGGGTACTCAGGCGGTGCCTACGATGTGTGCTCTGCAATCCTCTTGTGCTGGCTCCGGCCGAGGCCCTCACTGCTGGGGGATGCCTCCTCCGGCAGATCAGCCGTGCTCTTCCCAGCTGCTTCAATCCAGGGGTGCTGAAGAACCTGGTGGGCCGTGTAGCGCTTTTTGGGGTCGACCACCAGCAGCCGGCTCACCAGGTCTTTGGCGGCTGTTAGAATGAGAGACAGAAACATGGGATGAAATGGCTCTGGAATTTCAAGAATGTGCATTTCTCCGTGGTGGCACTGGGGGTTGGCTCACAGTGCCACCCTCCATCTGCGTGATGCCCTCGTGCCTGCAGGCCACAATCTGGTCACAATGACTAAGGATCGTACCTTTATTGTATCTATTTTCAGTCGATTGATGTGGAAAGGGCTATGTGTGGTCAGGGGCTATTCCGCTCCCGAGAATCCTGACAAGAGGCATTTTCAGTCTGCCCCTCACACACACACACTTCCTAGAGGATGGGCTCTCTCCAAGTGGCAGTCTTGTTACTTCCGGTGTTTTTCATTTCTGAGGTTGTTTCACAACCTTAAGAAAAACCGTGGGACCCGGCACAGTAGCCTAGTGGCTAACGTCCTTGCCTTGCACATGCCCAGGATCCCATATGGCCACCAGTTGTGTCTTGGCTGCTCCACTTCCCATCTAGCTCCCTGCTTGTGGCCTGGGAAAGCAGTCAAGGACAGCGAAAGCCATGTGACCCTACAGCTGCTTGAGAGACCAGGAAGAAGCTCCTGGCTCCTGGCTTTGGATTGGCTCAGCACCAGCAGCCCGTTGCAGCTACTTGGGGAGTGAATCAGCAGATAGAAGATCTTCTTCTGTCTCTCCTCCCTTTGTATGTCTGAGTTTGCAATAAAAATAAATAAATCTGAAAAAGGAAGAAGGAAGAGAGGGATGAAAGAAAGGAAGGAAGGAAGGAAGGAAGGAAGGAAGGAAGGAAGGAAGGAAGGAAGGAAAGAAAGAAACAAACAAAGACAAACAAACAGCCGTTGGTTGGAATTTCCCACTAGCCCTCACAGCTGCTGGAGTGTCCACAGCGCTTTGCATGCGACAGCTGGAGCTCAGGCGGGCAGAGAGGGGCTCTGCGCAACCCACTTGGAAGCTGCTTTGCCATCAGAACCCAAACGATGACCCAGCCCTGCCTGCCCTCCTGGCCCTGGTACACGGGGAAAGCCCCAGATCTCACCATCAGAGATGCTGTCCCAGTATGGAGCGAGGAACTCAAAGTGGCCCAGCTGGATGATGTTGAAGAGCTCCTCCTGGTCCCTCTCGGGGCTGCGGAATGGGGGGAAGCCACAGAGCAGGATGTACAGGATGACACCTGCAGCCCACATGTCCACCTCCAGCCCGTAACCTGCGCAGACAGAGACACCAGGGGACGAAATAAGGCGTCTTGGAAACGACACACACAAGAGGGCTTCATTGCCGCATGCCCACAAGCACGGCAGTTCCCGGAGACTCTAGGTCCACCCTGCCTAACCAGCTACTCTTGTCTTTGGCCCCCGGAGATCAGGCCTCCTCCCTGTCCGTACCTCCAAATCTCCCCGTCCTCACGCTAGCTGCCCTTATCCTGTCTCTGCAGGGAAGCCATTGCCCCCTCCTGCCCTCCACCGACTCCCTGCCCCTGCCAGGGCTTTCCAGGGTGGACAGACTAAATTCTCTTAGAGAACCAAGGCAGTCACACAGTCACACACTTGGACACTCTTTCTTTCATTCCTGCAGGAACTGAAACATGTGCAAGAAACAGGTGCTAAAGACTGAAATGGGATTCCCCACTCCCTTTAAATACAAGGTTGGTGAAGGGCTTTTGGAATCAATTACCGTAGGAATGACTTCAGTTCTTTCCCATCACTGGTGGCCTTGACTGGGGTCACACATGGCCTTGTTTCCTTGAGTCTCCCACCAATTCCCCATCTCTTACCTCACTGTCACACACACACACACCCCAATATGTCCTCTGTAATTAACACAGCCCTGACAAAGAGGAGGTTCCCAGGCTCCAATCAAGGAAATCTGCTTCAAATATCAGCAATAAAGTTCAAGCCTTCAAGATTTTTCAACTATTCCATATAGGAAAAAAAAAAATCACTAAAAGATAGAACTTGGGGGGTCAGTGAGCTAGGGTCCCTCAGAGCAAAGAAGCATACCACTCACCCTTCTCAGAGAGAATCTCAGGGGCTACATAAGTTGGGGTCCCACACACGGTAAACAGAGGCCGCACCACGTGCTTTGCAAGGCCAAAGTCAGCCAGTTTCAAGGTGGTGGATTTGTCCTCATTGCGTTGAACCTGTAAGAAACCAAAATCCCCAAACCAACAAAACCGTGACGAGAAGAACAGGTGACAACAAATTCAGATCAAGATGCATCTCCAACACACCTCTTCTACACAGACTGAGAAAAGCTAACCTTGACCTCTGTGGTCCACACTCTCCCTTTCAACTAAAGAACCAGCAGCTTTCCTATTATTCTCCTATACAGGTGCAGGGGCCCAAGGACTTAAGCCATCCTCCACTGCTTCCCTACACCACTAACAGGGAGCTGGATGCGAAGTGAAGCAGCCAGGACATGAGCTGGCACTCCTATGGGATGCCGGCACTAGCATGTGGAGGTGCCAGCACCATAATTAATCATTTTCTAATAAGAAAAACAACCCAATTACCTTCACTGTGGACGAACAGGAAGACTCAGGTTCTCCCACCCCATCAACATGCGTCCACCTGCTTAATTATGGGGCTGGCGCCTCCACCTGCTAGTGCCAGCATCCCATACGAGTGCCACCTGAGCCTCACTCCTTTGAACAAGTCCAGAAATTGGCTTTCTAATCTCTGACAATTCCCATGGTGAAGGGATTTGCAGATAAGATGATTATTGTTGGAAAATCTGGGTCCTGAACACAGACATAATTCACCTCAAGAGGTAAATGTAATACATATTTGGGTCATGTTGCAAGAAGGAATAAAATTAAACGTGCATTATATTGTACATGGACAGAAAACAGAGATAACAAAGACAATGAGAAGCAATCCAGGAGCTGGTGCTGTGGCTCAAAAGGCTAATCCTCCACCTTCAGGTGCCAGCATTCCATATGGGCACTGGTTCAAGTCCCATGAGCTGCTTCACCTTCCCTTCCAGCTCCCTGCTTGTGGCCCGGGAAAGCAGTCGAGGACGGCCCAAAGCCTTGGGACCCTGCACCCGCATGGGAGACCCAGAAGAAGCTCCAGGCTCATAGCTTTAGATCAGCTCAGTTCTGGTCACTGCAGCCACTTAAAGAGTGAACCAGCAGACACAAGATCTTTCTCTCTGTATCTCCTTCTCTCCGGAAATCTGATCTGCCTTCCTAATAAAAACAAATAAATCTTAGAGAGAGAGAAACACCATCTGTTCTCTCTGATTTGAGGCAGCCTTCATGCAAATTTTAATATCAATAACCCATGCCATACAGTTTTTGCTACAACCCATGGGTTTTGGTACTTTTGCTCTTATTTTTTTTTTTCTTCCAAATAGTTTCCTTTCTCTTGTCAAATTCTTCATTGACTCATAGATCACACTAACATCATTTTACCCAAGAAGTTTTTGTGTTTTCTTTTTCATGTCTTCATCAACACATTAGTCATTCAATAGCATGTTATTTAATTCCATGGTGGGTGCTGTACATCTTTTGTTTTAACTTTATTCTTCTTGTTGCCTTTGGTTCGTGGCTTCTCACTTAATGGAACGCATAGTCATGGTGTAACAGAGACTGTCATATCCAGATGGGAAGGTACAATGCAGCGTGCATCTCTACTTCCAAATCAAAGATGGACTCCCAATGAAACTGTTGACATATCTAGACAACAGGATGCTGGACTGCCCGGCATTGTCTGCACCCACAATGTCAGGATTCACTTAAATAACAGAATGATGGACTCATGGCTGCTTATGAAGGACTATACTGCTGTAATGATATGGGGAACATCAGGGATTTGGGGGAAAAGAGTAGGGAAATCCCAGACCTTCATGGAACCGTACCATAAAGTTCAAAATAAAAAATAACAATAACAGAAAGAGGCGCCCACACTGTCTCAGAAACTACCAAGCCACCCACAGGCACCCAGCCTCACCTCTCTACTACAACTGGGACAAAGGCGAGTGGGGAACACACTGATTCTCCCTGTGCAATGGAAACATCCAGAAACGCAAGGTGGAACAGCCATCCCTGGTCTCTCCAGACCAGAACCAAGCTCCCCACGTTTGCTTCGGTGCCCGTCAATGACCCGACATCTCCCCAAGTGGCGTGTGTCTTAGCCTCTGCGCCCTGGCCATTCGAGTCAGTGTCTGCACTATTTACCTACAGCGACACACGAAGTCACAGACCTGCAACTAAAACCCCACTGTGCCCAGTCTGCAAAGAGACAGAGAGATGCCGTGCAGAGAGGGCTCACAGCACAACGGAGGCTGCAAAAGCCCGGGAAGAAAAGCAGCGTGGTTCCTACAGGTGCCAGCTCATCATCCCTGTGAGTCACATTAGCTGGCTAACGGCTGAAAAAATAATTATAATAATAATACGTCCCTCGCGAATATTTGTACTTACCCCCCCCAATTAAATAATCAACCTGAAAAGCCACTTGGCTGAGTGAGTCCACAAAACTACACTGCGTATCCCCACCGCTATCTATTTATTGTCTAGAAGAGACACACTTCACCAACAAAGATCAGCGGAAATTATATTGCATGGATTTTGTTGTTTTCTGTTGGTTTCATCTCTTCAAAACACTTCCTTCTGATTAAATCATTCAATGACTCATAGATCATACAGCAGCATCATTTTCTTCAAGAAGGTTCTTGATTTTCATCTCTTCAGCTACACGTTAGGCATATCTTGACAATATCTTGACAATAGGATGCTGGACTCTCTGCCATTGTCCATGCCCGCAATGATGGACATATGACTGTTTATGAAGAATTTTACTTTAGTAATGATATAGGGGAACTAGGTGGGGGGAGGGAATTGGAGAGGGGATAAGGGAAATGCCAGGAGCCTGTGGAACTGTGTCATAAAATGATAATAATAACAACAAAATGTAAAAAAAAAAAAAAAAAAGAAAGGAAAAAAAGAAATTAAAATGGGAACTTGCAATTTTCTTTTTTGAACAGTAGAGGGCAGCAAAGGACAGCCCAAAAAGCAAGCATGCCCTCAAAAAGGAAGTCGCCCACAAATTGTCTCTTTGCAAATTGCTTGCTTCATCTTTCACGCTTCCTCAGCTATTTGCTTCTGAGCTACATTTTCTTTTTGAAATTTAAATTTATTTATTTGCCTGTATGTTTAGAGGGCAGAGTTATATAGAAAGAAGTGGAAACCAAGAGATGTTTCATTTGCAGGCTCACTCCTCAAATGGCCACAGCAGCCAGCTGTGAGTCAGGTTGAAGCCAGGAGCCAGGAGCTCCCACGTGGGTGGCTGGGGCTCTAATACTTCCACCATCTCCTGTTGCTTTCTCGGCCACATTAACAGGGAGCTGGATGGCAAGTGGAGCAGCCAGGACACGAACCTCTGCTCTGACATGGGATGGCAGCATTGCCCCTAACAACAGCCCAAGGTCCATTTTCAATGAGCCACAAAGGCTGAAAAGATCTTAGAAAACAAATCACCCTAAAATGCCAGTGTCTAAAATCAGCTTGCACTTTGTCAGCAATGATACAATAATACAAAAAAAAAAAAAGTGGGACAGGAGCTGGCATAGCGGCTCAGTTGGTTAATCCCCTGCCTGTAAGCATCAGCAGGACCAGTTTGGGTCCTGGCTGCCCCACTTCTGATCCAGTTCTCTGTTTATGGTTTGAGAAAGCAACAGGGGGATGGATGACCCAAAGCCTTAGGGTCCTGCATCCACGTGAGACCTGGATGAAACTCCTGGCTTCGGTCTGACTGAGCCCTGGTTGTTGTGGCCACATGGGGAGTAAACCAGCAGATGGAACTTTCCCACCTGCAGCTGGATCCGTCATGGCCTCATCTTCCTGACGGATGAGGGTGCGGTGGCCCTGCCTGGCTGAGCTCAGGGTTTGATGGGAAGATGGCTAGCCTAGGCTATCTGGTGCTGCTCAGACAGGGTACCTCAGACTGTGTCGCTGGAAATGAACAGAAGCTCACTTTCCCACAGGTCTCCGTGCTGGCCAGAGGCATCCACACCTCACCAAGCATCTTTTTGCTATCACCCCCAGGTGAAATGCGTTAGAGCAAAGCCCCGTATGCTGTCCTTTTACAAGGGTGTTCATCACCCCTTGAGGGCAGAACCTTCATGGCCTAAAGTCCTCTTAAAGGTCTCCCCTCTCAGAACTGCTACCCCGGGCATTTAAATGCCCACCTTAACCACTGTGTTTGGCTCATTTGCAGGTCTTCACCTGTAAGATGACCACCTCTTTTGCCAGCACCTGCATCCCCTAAGGCCACGCCCCCGCTCTCTGCTGCTGGGACTCTGGCAGTGGGTCCCTTGTGCCCCCTAACAACCCCTAAGCAGATGGGACTTCCAGACAAAGACAAAACAGAACCTGGGGAAGAAGTTGATGGGACGACCATCGCACGAGCCAGACCTCAGAACCCAGAAGATATGAGGAGGCTCACGGAGCTGCTCTCTCGGATGGAGAATTTTTCAAAACAGAAACCACGCAAGCGTTTGACACGGTGGTTGGAGGCATTGCCTTGGAATGCTCTCGGCCAGCAGCAGAGCGCCCAGCTTCACAGCCCAGCTCTGCTCTCAGTTCTGGCTTCCTGCTTATGCATATTTTAAAGACAGCGGGCTGCACGGACAGTTGAATCCCTGCCATCCATGCGGGAGACTTAGATGGATCCCTGGGCTCCTGGCTTTAACTTGGCTCAGCCCCAACTGTTGCAGCATCTTGGGGGTGATGTAATGGACAATCTCCCTCCCCCCCCCCCTGCCTTCTAAGTAAATAAAAATCCTTCTCTCAAAGGATCTAACATCATTTCAGATCGTTAAATATACTCTCTTAGACAGCACACGAACCCCAACTGCTAAGAGGACCACGGGCCTTTACTGAACTTCAGGACTCCTGGTGGAAACATAGCCATCATTTAGAAGCAAGTTGCCAAGTCTGACGCACATGAATCATGTTTTCCAGTTGTGTCTGAGATTAAGAATCTAAACCATCAGACATCTAACCTGTTAGAGGGATTCCAGGAATCCCTCTGGATTGCCAGGAAAACTGGGACACCACATTGTGTTCCCAGCTGCCACCTTTAGCCCAGCCTGGTCCCCAGCGGTTGTGGGTATTTGGGGAGAGAATCAGTGGATGTGAAGCATTCTCGATCTTTCTAGAATTCTCTCTCTCTCTCTCTCTCTCTCTCTCTCCTGCCTTTCAGATTAATTAAAAATAAGGAGAAGGAAAGACTCTCACAGAAGACTGGAGGGAAAAAAAAAACTCAATCACTAAGATGACCCAGTATCTAGAATGTGGAAGATTCCAGGAAATGCCATAAGACCCTGGACAACACGGGGATTCATCAAGTCTCCAGAACTGTCATTTTCTGGAAAGCTGCTGAAGCAGGTGTCGGAAGCCAGTCTCACCGGTTTCACCCTCAGATCTCAGGATCTTCTGACCCACGGCAGCCAGCAGGTCTCTGACACGCCGGCAGTCTCGCTTGAGCCATCAACCCCAGCCAGTGGCTAGATGGCTTCATGCACCACTCTCTCTAGTGACTCCCCATTCTTGCTGAAACCCACATTTCTTGATGCCATTAAGGACACCCTAACAAGCTATGCCTCTTAGTTGTCTGATTGCTTTTTCATTGAAATGGTAAGTCTGCAGAAAACTATTTGTGAATGTCTAGAAGGTTCTGAGAAGACGTGGACACCTGTGTTTCAAAAACCAGGCAGGAAGCAGACAAAAGCGGGGCTGATGGAAGAGGGGTTCTGCCATTCAGGGACAAGGATGCGCAAGGAAGCAAAAGCACGGCACGGCAAGTCCCACCTGTGCCCCAAAGGAGAAGGGCTCGGGGACTCAGCGTTCAACGTGACGGTCAGGTTTATTTCAGAGGGACAATAGGGCCAGTGTCTGGGCCATCCTTGCCGCCCCTTGAACAGAAGGTCTAGGATATGGAGACACGGCTACTCCTTCACTATTGCCAAGCGACAGCCAGAAAGAGGGTACCACACTGTCCCCAGCCCAGCTGTGATGTGCGCCCCCCTCCCCGTTCCCACCTCCAGAATTCAGTCTCTGAGCCACAGGGACAGTCAGGAAGCCTGGGGCAATGAGTACCACACACATGAGCCGAGGTGCCTCCCACCCACCCACCCCCTGCAGCCCTGATTTCCACTGTAAGAAATGGGAGAGACTTTCTCTTTAGACTCTCCCCTGTCCCCACTCATCGAAGCCTGGCATCTCAGACACCGGCTGCAGATGGCCTGGCCCGTCCGTGCCCGCACTTGATCCCAGCAGGTCTCAGCATCACTTCTGCAGTTCCCACTCATTTCCCCAGGGCGCAGGCAACAGCATCCCAAAGCCTCCCACCCCCCACACCCCTGCTGGAGCACACGCCAGCAGAAGCAGCAATTAACACAGCTATTTCTGCAAGCTGGAAATCCTCATAATTAAAATTTCTTGGGAAGATCTCAGGAGCATAACACCCCCACGGGTAGGAGTGCAATAGCATCTTATTAGGAAAGGAGACCAGGAGAACTGGGAGAAGTCACACGTACAGGCCTCAAATGGGACTTCCTGGGCCCAGTTATCAGCCACAGACATTTTTGTTCAGCGAACACTAGAACAAGCCTAGCTAGTTCCATGAGGAACTCTCAGCCCCTCCACAAATTCGCTAAAAACAGCCCCAATGACCACCAGCCGCACATCATCAAGAGTCACTTCTCACACAGTCAGCATCCCAAGCTTAGCCAGGCTGGGCCCTTAATAGAGACGGACGCCATCCATGAAAGGGAGAAGCAATTAGTTTGACAATACAAAGCTCAACACAGAGCAAAACCCCAAATGAAAGGCAACCGAAGAACATGAATTGATGCACAGTAATCACCATGGTGATATCTATTAAGCCTGGCCTTAGGAGAGGAAGCAAATTTGCAATGTGACTATCCTATCAGCAAGAGTAAGGGAAGATGCTGTTCAATTTCCAGTGAGCCAATGGTAAGCAAATACATTCACCTAGTCCACAAATACTCAAATACGTAGGTCTCTTTTTAAAGAAAACATTGACTTACTAATTAATTAATTAGAAAAACAGTATGACAACGAGGGAGAGATTTTTCATCCACTGGTTCACTCCCCCAAATGCTGGAGAACCAGTTCCAGCTCCCTGCTATTCTGCATCGCCAACCCAGCTCCCTGCTCATGTTCCTAGGACAGCAGTGCATGATGCCCTAAGTTCTTAGACACCTGCCACCAACATGGGAGACCTCGATGGAATCCCAGGCTCCTGGCTTTGGGCTGGCCGAGCCCTGCCCACTGTGGCCATGCCCCCTCTTTCTTTCTCCCCCCATCCTGTCTCTCCAAACACAAACAGAGAGAAAGAGAGAGAGAGTTTATTGCACTAAAAGCAAATAAGCGCTGACACTGAGCCCTAGTGATGATGTTTTAGCGGCAATGAATTTATCCATACTGAATGTATTCCCTCTAGTTTTTCTACTTCGTCGAGCAAATTTCTCCATGAAGTCCAAGCCAGTGCTGACTCTGCTCATTGTAAAATATCACTGACAAGCAAATCCCTTCCAACAAGCCAGAGCCTCCAGGGCCCAAGAAAGGGGCCAACTCAACAGACCGGTTCCAGAACCTTGCTGGGAAATGCAGATGAAGTTAACTGGCCCCCAAATAAAACATCCCAGAACACGTGTATGACACAAGGTCCACTCCTGCAGTGTCAACCCATGGGATCCACTGAGGTTCCACCCAGAATCTCTACTGCTTAGATAATTCAGGGAAGCTAATAGCGTCAGTAGGACACCCTTCCCTGTCGCAATTCCGATAACAGTGCCCAGCCCATCACCCACTCCCGGAAATCACATTGGTTTTCAGAGCCCAAAGATAGAAACAACACAAAAGCAAGTGAAAATTGGACAAGGACACTCTGCTGATGCCAAAGTGAATTTTTTTTTTCCAAGGGGGAGTCATTAAATGGTGATTCATATCTCTTGATAACTAAACTACTTACCAGTGAAGACACCTGAATAGCTTCTCTAGCTTTGGGCTGAGCTCAAGTGTAGCAGTTAGGACAATGAATCCCATTGGGTTGGGCGATGTTGAGGCGTTTAGTCTTTCAGATGTGGGCTGCAGGAGGCAATCTGAAGCAAGCAGTCAAGACAGGGAGGTTTGCTCTGGACTGGACAGCGAGGGGAAGTGGAGGTGGGTGTGCGCCTTCGGTGTCCATGGGTGGAATGTAGTAAGGCAGCTACCCGCCGTGGCCAAGAAGGACACAACATTGTCCATCTCTGGACAATACTCTTGTTATAATCTGCATTCATCATAGGGATGCTGGCTTTGGCCTTAGCTTATCACCGTCACAGAGCCCTTGGTACCTCAAGGGGCTGTTTGTGCTAAACAAGAGAATGCCACAGCAGTACAGGGAGGGTAAGGCCAGCTGCCCAGCTGTCCGGAGCAGCTTCTCCCCCTTCCGTGCCCAGTCAGCGCTCCAGGTACTGGAATAAGAACTCTTACTCACTCCTTTACATAAACAAACAATAGGACTTATCCCAGAGTCCACAATAAGAAAGCCAAGACTCAGATCGGGGTTGCAGGCTCAGAGTTGAATTCTGATACCGCCCCACACAAACACACACACACAGACCCCCCACTCAGCCACCCCTTTTGAACTCCTAGGTCAAACACCATTCCACAAAGGGCCACAGGGGTGTCCCTGTGACAGCCCTGAGGGTGGACACCATGTCTCGATGGGCAGCTGCCACCAGCAGGTGTCCCGAGACGTAGGCCGCAGGATGTGCACATCTATTCAAAAGTAATCAACACAAACGAACCTCAACAACTCGTGAGTCGTAAGCAAGGTTTTAAGCACCGGACTCAGTATGTAGAAGTGATGTGTTCTAGAGTATAAAAGTCACAGGGTGTGAAGCAACTAGAGCTATTTTGTCCCGCATACCCTCTCCCTTAGCAGCAGCAGAGCCCAGGGCTTACCAGAAGGTTCTCTGGCTTGAGGTCCCGGTGGACGATGCCCTTGCCATGCATGTGGACCAGGGCCCTGCTTAAGTCTTTGATCATGAGTGCGGCAACGGACTCCGGGAACTTCACACTTTCTATGATGGCATCAAAGAGGTCCCCGCCTTGCACGTACTCCAGGATCAGGTACACCTCCTTCTCCGTCTCGTACACCTCATGCAGCTTCACTATGTTGGGGTGCGAGAGGCTCCGCACGATGGCGATCTCGCTGTCAACCATGTCCTCCTTCCCCTTGAGCCTGGACTTGTCGATGATCTTCATGGCGTAGGCCAGCCTGGTTTCCCGGTGCCTGCACTCCTTCACCACGGCGAAGTTGCCATCCCCGACCACACGGCCAGTCTCATAGTGCTTCTCCACGCTGACTGTGAGAATGCCTGTCGGCCGTGGCTTCCGCCCCGCTGGCCGCTCTGCCTTGCTCTCCTCGGGCCTCATCTTGGACTCCTTCTCCACCCTGGCTGGCGGTTCGTCTCTGAGAATCGTCTTCCTCCCGGTGGATGCACCTGCCTTTCTCTCCTCGGGGTTGGCCTGATGCTCTCTCAGCAGCCAGCCACCTCCTTGCTTGGTCCTGCACGTGAGCCTGGAGTCTCTTTTCACCTCCCTTGACCCTTCCCCCAGGCCCACTGAAGCCTCTCCAGCATCCTTGAGCGCCCTGGCTGCCCCAGGAGCATGGCTCTCCTGCTCCTCCATGTCCCTGTCCTCCTTCTTGTCCAGATTCTTGCCAGGCCTCCTCGGCTCCTGAATGGCATCCCTGACGTTGCTCTGGTGGCCACCACCGTTTTGTGTATCCTCCCCGACCTCAGGAGACCTCCTGCAGCTGCGCGTCCTGGCCAACTTCTCCACATCATACCTGCGGCACCTGCCCAGGTCCAGCTCGCTGGTGCCCAGTGACAGCCTCTCCTTGTGCAGGTTCTGCTGCAGCTCTCTCTCTTTCTTGCACTTCTCACACCTGACCGTGTCCCCCGAGGTCTTCTGATGCTCTACCCCTGGGAGCTTGTCGCCACCCGTGGGCCTCTCCTCTGCCTTGGCCTCCCTGGGTGGCTTGCTGCCTGCTTCGGGCTCCCGTCTGCTCCTTCCCCACTTCTTCTGGACCCTGGGCTTGTCCTCGGTTGCCACCTCCATGGGGATCTTCCCCTGGGGCCTGCTGGTGAGCTTGCCCCCGGGGGCCTCACCGCAGTTTTTGGCCATCTCGTTCTCCCCCACTTTCAGAGCCTTGCCGTAAAGCCTGCTTCTCAGCCTTGGCGATGGCATCAGGCTGTGCTGGGTCAAGGTGAGGGCCCGGGCTCTGTTGGGGTACAGCTCTTCCATGGCCACCTGAATGCTCTTCAGTGTCAACGGCTCTCTGCCCATGGCAATGAAAGCGTCACCCTCTCGGAAGAAATCCGAGATGCTCTTGATCTCCCTGCCTTTGATGCTGAACAACTTCCGCACATGGTCATGCTTCCAGCACGGGAAGCCCAAGGCCTCTGAGATGTCAGCCAGGAGCTGCTCGAAGGTCTGCACCGAGCGCCGGCTCAGCAGCAGGGTGACCTTGCGCAGGGGCTGCCCACCCAGCTTCACCACGGTCACCACCCGGGGCTTCAGCGGGCCGAGCTCAGCGGGCCTGAACACGGGCACAGCAGGGCCACACGGCCCCACTGGCGGCTCCGGCCTGCCTCGGCCAGCCGGCAGCCAACAGCTGCCCGACTGTAGCTTACGTTCAGAGATCTTGGAGCTTAAATATCTCAGTGGATGTGCGCAGATGCCTCGATGACCTGCAATGAGAGAGGATGAGAAAGAATGAGACCAAGTCTGGGCTGCATGCGAACTTGATGGCAGGTGGCTAAGTCTACCCCTACTGTGAACCCTGCAGTTGGTGGGCATGTTGTCTGGGGGTCTGCCTGAAGCCACAGAGCCCGTATACATTATGTCTCACCCCCACCCCACGAGAAAACAGGAGGATAAAAGAGAGTGAGCGAGGGGCTCATGGGGGACCCCCACGAGGGACCACGCCTGGGGAACCCAAGGCCTGGCTCTGTGCAAACAATTCCTAGAGGGAGCTTGCTGGTGGTATCCAAGGGTCTAGGACTGAGATAAAAGGCCCAAGGTGGCACCCCAAAAAAACACCAGCAGGAAAACAGAGTACCCTTCCGGGCATGCCGAATCGTACCCACTTCTTTGACAAGAGTAGTTTTCTCAGCACGACTTTCAACCCATTCAAAGTGAGGCACAATACAAAGAAGGTTTCTTTTCTTTTTGATCTACTTTATCTATTTCAAAGGCAGACAGACAGACAGAAAGGAGGAGAGACAAAGAGAAAATTTCTTCATCCACTGGTTCGCTCTGCCACATGGCTACGACAGCCAAGGCCAACCAAACTAAAGCCAGGAGCCTGGGACTCCATCTTGGTCTCTCAAATAGGTGGCAGGTCCTGGGACCAACACTGAATGCCTTTTCAAGCACTATTAGCAACCAAAACCCCAACACTCACTCCTGATAAGGAGAGAAAGAAATCCCAGCACGGTAGCCTAGTGCCTAAAGTCCTCGCCTTGCATGGGCTGGGATCCCATATGGGCGCTGGTTCTAATCCCAGTGGCCCCACTTCCCATCCAGCTCCCTGCTTGTGGTCTGGGAAGGTGACTGGGGATGGCCCAGGGCCTTGGGACCCTGTACCCACATGAGAGACCTGGAAGAGGCTCTGGGCTCCTGGCATCAGATCAGCTCAGCACTGTCCATTGCGGCCACTTAGGGAGTGAATTATCGGACAGAAGATCTGCCTCTGTGTCTCTCCTCCTCTCTGTATATCTGACTTTCAAAAAAAAAATCTTAAAAAAAAAAGAAAAGAAAAATAAAGAAGAAAGGAAGGAAAGAGAGAAGAAAGAAAGAAAAGGATGGAAGGAAGGACATACATAATGAAAATATTGTGAATGAAACAAGATCGCTTCCAACTAGAACAAAGTAGCCAAGGCAAAAGTGGCTTCACTTTCCCTGTTTTCCATCCAGGTCAGGAAAGGCAACTGGAACAGAGTCACAGAATGTGTAATTCAGATAAACTACGGAGTGGGCTGAGAACAATTAAAGTTAACCCCAGGGCTGGCACATCAAGCCTTACACGCAGGCACCTGCCACTTGGGCACGGGGCTTTAGGGAGAAGTCTAAAGGAATGATTCGTAAGTATATCTGAGTCAAATGTAGTAGAAATTCTAGTTGTGCCTGGGATGGGCAGTTTGGCCCAGCACATCCACACAGAAGGTTTTTTGTGTTTTAATTATAACACACAATCTGCTCCGAGATGAGTCCCATCCTGGCACAGGTGTCAGATCAGATGACAAGGTGGTAGCTGGCACTGCTGCTCCCACACACCAGGCACTTCTGAGCTTCGCAGTCACACATTTGGCTAAACGGCTCGTTTACTGACATCTGTCAGCCCTTCTCTTCTTGCAGCCTCCCTCTCACACTCTACCCTCACTCTGCAGTAGTTTTCCCGGGAGCAAGCAGAGACGCGAGGCTACATTCCACGCACACACGGGGCAGCAGAGGCAGGGTGCCAAGGGAAGTGAGTATTCAATGCTGTGTGTGCCAAGAGACCAGGGTTCTCATTTGTTTGCCTTGTGGTGCATCACACAGAGTGGGATCTGTGATGCACATTGGCAGGACTCAGGAGCTGCATCCTGAGTATGGTCTAGTCTGGGGCTTTATCAAGCCGAGATGGGGAAATGACAAGGAAACTCTGAGGATGGATGGAAGCCAGAAGATGGAAAGTCCACCAGGCTGTGAGAGGCGAGTGAAAAGCAAGCCCCAGAAAAAGGGGCCATCGAAAGTGCTTGCAGCACAGGAGACTTGACCCCGAATTCTTGATGAGAGCTGACCCAGTACAATAGCCACGGAACGCTGATGCGGGGCTGGGCAGCTTATCCACATGGCCTGTGGTCATCACAGGCAAGATCAGGGTGGAGCGGAAGAGATGAAGAGGCAGTCAGGATACGACCGTGTCAGTGCAAAGAGTTCACTGTCACCAGGTGACATGAGCCTCAATGAAGGAGAGTCATGTAAAGAGGGAAGATAATTTTCAGCTCTGGAGCAGCCCTGGGGGGAGCCAGGTTCTGAGTCCTGCCTTCAAAACCCATAGTTTCTGCAAAAGAAGCGTACCTCTAGCAGGGAACAAAAAGCAGAAGGCATTTTCTGAGAGACCAGGGGAACCTCAGCTAATGCAAGGGATGCTGGAGCATCTTAAGCACAAGAGAGGTCCAGGCAGGATGGCACGGGGAGCATACATTCAGGATGCCCTGCTGTGCTGGTGCACAGCCAGCACGGGCAATCCCTGGATTGGAGCAAGGCGTGGATGGGGGACAGAGTCGGGGCTGTGCTCAGCCAACTTTGGTAGACATGTCCCGCCCCCCCCCCCCCCCCGTGGCTTGGAGAATGTTCTGGAAATACCTCTCCCTGCACCGCAAAGGAGCTCCCGAACAAGCTTTAAACCCACAGACAGGCTCTATCCACCTCCCAGCCTTCCCCAACTCCTTCAGGAGCTCCATGCTCTCTGGGGGGGTTGGGAGGTGGGGCTGGGAGGGGAGGGTGCTGGGAACCAGAGACCTCAGTCCCTTCCTCCACAGCCCAGCAGGGGCCCACCCAAATGGTACTTTGGCCTCCATCTGCACACAGCTATTGATAACACCAAATGTGTGGCCCTCTCTACCCTTTCACTAACCTTCCTTCTGCCTTTAAAATTTTGAGACCCAGGTGCCAAGTGTAGCCAGTTAAGCTGGCCCTTGGGACACTGCCATCCCATAATAGAGCACTGGTTAAAGTCCCAACTGCTCCCCTTCAGATCCTTGCTAATGCCTCCGACCCCCACCCCACAAGAAAGATTGTGGGCTAAGAAAAATCCTTAACCAAATTTGTCTTCAGCAAATTTGTCATCTTCAGAGCTAAGAGAAAAAACAGATTTTGAATGCCTCGTTCGTAGGCAGGAAAGCAGAGACAAGCACAGTACATGCCCCATGCCCCGGGCCCTGGACTCAATCTCCAGGGACAGCTCACTCCGAGGACAACTGGACATTGTGTGGTTTCAGGTCAAAACGGACACCACTCTCCTGGCCCCTGTCCAGGCCAGCCTGAGTCCAACGCCCAATGTCGAATCAGCACCCCCACACCCCCCAGTTGCCAACAGAACCTTCATTTGATTCCATGAGGATATAACCTATATTGAGACTCCCTACTCTGCCCCTTGCATCCAGGGCAGACAGCTCACAAAGCTACAGAAGGCAGACTGTGAAGAGTAAGGCACCTTAATTCCTGGTACTCCGCCTACAAGGCAGAAGCTTCCTGGGAAGGGATACTTTGAAAAGATACATTTGTAACATTCTATTTTTCTATTAACTTCCTGCAGCGACCTAATTGCTCTTGATAATACTGCTGCTTTCACTTCATACCCTCCAAACACTAAAGTAACCTCACACATACAATGTAAAAAGGATTACACCTGCTGAGCCACTTCGCTCCTCTAATTACCACCCCCGAGGGTCAAACCCAAACTCCTCAGTTCCATGGGCAAGGTCTTCCATGACCCTGGCAACGCCCCAATCTCATTCGCTCTGCCACACCATCTTGTAAGACCCAAGACCCACATTTCCCACCAAACCATCCCCTGAGCACCCAAGTCCACGTGGCACCTGCTCCCTCGGATGTCTTCGCATTCACAAAACCAAGAGTTCACAGGGGGCCCGGCGCAGTGGCGCAAGTGGTTAAGGTCCTCGCCTTGCACGCCCAGGATCCCATATGAGCACCGGTTCTATCCCCAGCAGCCCCGCTTCCCTTCCAGCTCCCTGCCTGTGGCCCGGGAAAGCAGTCGAGGACAGCCCAAAGCTTTGGGACCCTGCACCCGCGTGGGAGACCCGGAAGAGGCTCCTGGCTTCGGATCAGCATAGCTTGGGCCGTTGTGCTCACTTGGGGAGTGAATCATCGGATGGAAGATCTTCCTCTCTGTCTCTCCTCTCTGTATATCCGCCTTTCCAATAAAAACATAACAAAAATAAATCTTTAAAAAAAAAAAAAAAAAGAGTTCACAGGGATGCTTGAGATGCAAGCCCAGGACCTGAGTGCACAGCACCTGTTCTCACCTGCTGCCTATCTCAGGTGTTACTTCACCTTAGACAGTGTGATAGTGTAAGTATTTTTTCCTCTTATGTAAACCGCAAATTACACATCCCCCACCCCCACCCAACCCTGGGGCAAGAACAAGCACAGAGAACAACACTCCAGATTTGGGGAACAAGTTCCCCAAGTTAAGATCAAGCCCAAACGCCCAGTCTGTCTTCTGACTCTCCTTGTACATAATTGAATATGACTGCTTTCCACACCAAGACACACCACACAACAGATCCCTTAGCCAAATTAAATAAGTGGGTTCAAAGCAAACATAATCACAGACTCCATCAAACACAGGAACTTTGCCAAGACAGTATATGTACAGAGCCACCGGAAGAAGCTGGAGAGAAAAAAAGTGAACAAAACCTCACTTGGAGGTTGTGCCAAGGATGAGCCAGAAAACCTCATCTCCACCTTGGCTCCCCTGGGCGCCTGACTGTGACACCTGGGAATGTCACCTAATCCCCCTGGATCTCCATTTCCCACTTGCTAAATAACACCATTATCTGACCACACCACAGGAACCCAGGACAGTCAGCTGTGCCGAACTCTTCCTCCACTTCCAAAGAATATGAATCTCTGTGGCTGGCGCAGTGGCACACAGGCTGGTCCTCAGTTCT